TTTGTTTACCTCGGCGGCGGCGGCGAGGCAGGCGGCGGCGCAGGGGAACAGGTCGTGTTTCCCTTATTTTCCCTTAATCGGTCGGGTTTCGGGGGGCGGGGGGGCGTGCTGAGGGCCTGTTGGGAAGGGTCTTGGAGGGGGAGGTGCGTGTGTTGTAAGTTAGGGAGGTAGTTTTGGTGTTTGGGAGGAGAGGCCGCGATCATGTTGGCGACGTGATTTTGGCGCTGGACGTTAAGGTTTCAGCATCGCGTTTATTGTTTATCATTTTCCGAAATACACTTTACGATTTCTTTATTACGGGTTGATTTTGGTCCGTTTTGTTCACTACCCTCTAGGTACTGTTAAGGTGTGTTGTTGAAAATTGTTTATTATAATACATGCCATGACCTCCACACCTCGCGCTCAGGCAAAGGCCAACTAATCTGCTCCGTGTCTAAGCTTCCTGAGAGTACTCAGAGTAGCGCACGTTTGTCGCATGCACTCGCACACAAAATTATTGAGGTGATGTCTGCAGCACCTCGTGTGTGGTGGAGAGTTGTCGACCAGTTCCAGGGTGCGAAATACAGAGACCTTTTTGTTTTGGTTTAGTTTTAAACAGTGATGATGATTACCTACTCGAAAAGCCACTTTGGTATGAGTCCCTGAAGAAGATGCGTAACAGAGAACAGAGACGATCAGCCAATCTATTTCTGAGATACTCATCATGTTTACATTGAGAGGATAAATTGTACTCTAACCACATAATTCATTATTGCAATCTATCAAGTAATTAAAAAATTACTCTGCTCTTGTGAAAATTATTAATTTGTAATTATCATGGCCTGCGTTTCCAAATTTATATATGAACGTATTCTCTTGATGATATTAAAGTTCATTAATGTTTTAACAGTTATTTACATAATTATTTGCAGTTGCATTATGTTTATGTGCATTTCAACACCTGGATTTTTGACAGTTGCTGACTACAATTGTTTCATTCTCAGTGTTGTCTGCAGATTTTACAGAAAGATTGGTCGGATGCTTGTGGAAGTTTTCAAAAGTTGACCGTCAAGGATGGTGGATACATGAGTAGACCGTTGCTTTTTGCTAAGATCTAGGAATTTCTATGAGTGATATGGCGCTTAGGATTTCTTTGAGAAGGTTATTGATTGTACCAAATAGTGTTACAAGTGTTTATTGTAACTATTATATATATTATTTTTTGTTCTATCCCAAGGTTTATTATTGTCTGTAATTAACAATGTCAGTATTGCCTACTGCAATGAAGATTACTAAAATATCTGAGACCTGTATGGGAAATGCACATTTAAGATATTTTTAATAAATCTTGATTGTATACTTGAGAATTAAATATCTGAGAATTAAGCCTTTATTCTTACAATAGATGTAGCAAGTGTGCTATATTGCAGACTGAATATATTTTGCTGTAGAAAAGGTATGAATGAGAACGAATATCTTCACAATACAGGAGATGTATTTGACTGGTTTTGATTATATATTCATAAGAATTATTTCTGACGAAGATATAGTCGAAATCGGTCAAGTACATATCTTGTGTTGTGAAGATATTCATTCTCAGTCATACCTTTTCTACAATTGTCAACATGAATACGGTTCATATTTTGCTGTAATTGCACAGAAGTAATGATAAAACTATTAAAAAGAATGTCTTGCATTTGATGTATACAATGCATCTATATTGCTTTTAGTCCATGGGAACTGACAGTTGACAGTAGATAGGGAAGGCATGAAATGTGATAGGGTAATTTTGGGGTAGGTAATGAAAAAACATTCATAACAAAGGTTAAGTGGATTAGCATCGCAAAGTTAATGTATATGTAGGATCAATAAAAAAATATGTAATATTATATTATATCATTATCATACAGATGAAGACCTTATATAACATCTAGGTGGCTCTGTTCCCAGGAATCCTAGAGCCCTGGCAGCACCCAGGAGTACTACTTTTTTCTTGTTTTGCCTTGTCTTGGATAGAGGCTCCCACTATCCAAGACAAGTCGTTGGATAGAGGCTCCCTTTTTTGACTTGCCATCAAAAGGCTAGTATGTCTAGATGAGGATTTAAGGAGTAATATAGGTAACACAGGGAAACTTCATGGAGAATGGATGTAATTGGTACAGAAAGGTTGGTCTCGAAACCCCCTCAGGGATGATTTCATTATCTGCAGGCCTCCAAGGAGTAGGGACATATCAGCCAGCAATTATGTAGTTGATACACATTTGAATATGGGTTCTCCATTTTATACTACCAACTGGTATTTTGAATTTATTTGGAGTGTTACTATTGACTGTTGCTGGCATTCATTACCACCCTGCTACCAAGCCAGGCTCTGAAATAACACATTTGTAGTGCTCCTAATCTTCAAGTTTGGAAAACCTTTGAGTTTTTCTTGGAATCTAATTTTGGTCTTGGCATTGTGGGGGCAGGATTGGAAAAGTTTACAGGTAATGAATAACCAATGGTATTATAAATTATATTT